GAGTTCATAATTCTGGGCTGCCGGTCCGAGCCGAATACAAGAAGTCACCGGCCCAATCACCGGTTGAGCTAAATCTCGAAGAAGGTATCGCGGGGGATTGTTCACCTCCGCTTCCTCTTGACGGGCCATGTTTCCTTGCTCGGTCGAGGCTTGTGGTTCCAAAGAAAGGTTGGCTAGCAAGTCTCGTAATTCCCGTTGAACGGTCTCGTCGTTTGAATTGAATACACGACCACTCCTAGTACGCATAAACAAAAACAAACAACGCGTCACGAGCACCCGCTAACAACCGAGCGAAAAATAAAATCAACTACCAAATATATATACACTCACAAAAACCAAAGAGAAATTAAGAGAAACACGGAAACAAAAATGAATAGCGCACAATTGAAATCCTAAACCTTCCCCGGCAACGGCGCCATTTTGAAGTTGAAGTTTTTAACCGGAGTAGAATCAAAGGATTCGAACACCGGGTCGTGTTCTCAAGGAAGGCTAGCCGGATACAAACGCGCGATATTCAATCACACGAGAATGTAAATTACACCTAAACACTCTAATCCAATTTTTCGAGGGTTTTAGTTATCGACGAGAAAATAAATTACTACGAACACAACACAAGGAAAGAAAAATAACAAATTTCAACACAAGTACGATTCAACGATTTCGAACGAGCTAGGGTATCGGGGATAATCGTCTCCGGTTCAATCTCACTTCAATGAATTATAGGTACTCGGTTAAAGGCCTCGACTCATAAACTCATTTAACGTTATAACCATCATAGCATTTCGCGGTAGATAAATCAAATATAAACGAGCAATCAATCCAAGCAATTAACACATAGACAACACGTCTCCGGTTATGCCTACTCTAAACGAGCCAAATTTCACCGACTTCTCCCCTCTCGGTTTTGAAGTCGATTAACTAAATTGTAATGGTGATCAAGCATTCAATCATTATTATTAATCAAACTCGAAAAGATTGAGTAAATTACAAACATGTCAACGAGATTAAACCGGAATAATTATCCCCTTCCCCTAGCAATCAACTTAGCTACTCATGGCAAAATAAACACAACAATCCATACCAATGTAAGTACTCATCTTCATAATCAAATGAAAAGGAAGAAACTTACTAATAAACTTGAATTCAATGTCAATCCACAATGCCAAGAGTTTGCCAATAAATGCTCCTTACATAACAAGATCAATGTGTTCTTCCAAGCAACCAAAAATTACATCCAAAACTAAACTAAAAATGTGAGAGAGAGAGTAGAATGATGAAGAATGAGAGTGATGAAAGAAGAGAGAAGATGAGAATGATAGAGAGAATAAATGTCCAAATACAACCTTGGGAGCTTCAAGGGGACCAAAAAACATGCTCCTCCCCCTTCCCTATGATTTTTCCTTCATTAGCCACCTCACTCCCGGATTTTAAGCCACTTCTCCCATTTTCCGAGCTCAAAAGCCATATAAAAAAAAACTGGGATTTTTGACTTCTCGCGGCCGCGACTTGCTCTCCCGCGGCCGCGACTTGGTGCTCCGCGGCCGCGACTTGGTCCCGCGGCCGCGAGATTTCCGTGCTGAAGCCCACTACTCTGTTCTTGTTTGTTCGCCGCGGCCGCGGCGAAGAACATCCCGCGGCCGCGGCTTGACCCTCCGCGGCCGCGACTTGATCCCGCGGCCGCGACTTGTTGCTGTAGCTCAGGATTTTTCTCTTTGCGTTTTCGGTTCCGTTTTTCACCTTCTTGACCCGATTTTTGCCTCCTTGCACGAACACTAACTCTTTTCACCGAAAAGTCGATCGACCCCTTGAACCTACGCACCACGATACACAAGAAAAACACGAAAAAAGGGAAAAACAAGCGGGAAAACAAAGCAAACAACGAGCAAACCAAAAACTAACGAAAACGGACTCACAATTAAAGAGAAATACCTAAGATGGGGGAAAATGAACATAAAATGACTACGGAAAACATAACAAAAATGGAACGAACACCCGTAAACCGGTTTCCACTTCGTACATGGAGCTCTCGGCGTCCCTAACATGAACTCTATGAGTGGCGCCTATCTGCTCCAATTGCAAATATGCGTTATAGTGCTCCGTAGCAATGGGAGTCCTGCATCTCGTGGACTTGTTTTGTTCCTGTTGGAACAAATCCAGAGTTTTATGCAATGTGGCATCTACCAAAGCTCTGCACGGCAGAAACCTAACCCCTTTCAGCACGTTATTGTAACTCTCCGACATGTTCGTGGTCAATGTGCCCCATCTGCGTCCTACTTTATCTTTTAACTGGGTCCACTTCTCCAAAGGAATTCGAAAAAGGTAATTGTGTGCCTCGGGATTCAATGCCAACAGTCTTTGTTCTGTTTCTCGAAACTTTCGCTCCGAGAACTGAGAACTCAATTCCCAACACCAAGTCCGAATTTTCTTACTCCTGCAATTAGTCACCACGTTGCTTCGAAGGTGTTGAAGCAAATCCGGTGATACGCAGCGGGTTCTTGCCAATCTGGTAATGATTCAATGGCACTGAGTAGGCCCGCATCCCTGACAGAAAAAACGCAGATACGTCTCTGGAAGACTACATGTTGCCGCAGATTCCTAAGGAAAAATGACCAACTGTCCGTGCTTTCTTCATCGACAAGCGCAAATGCGACCGGCAATAACCGCTTATTCGCAGTCTGTGCCGTGGCCACGAGCAATTTTCCCTTGTAGGATCCACGCAAATGTGTGCCATCGACGCTAATAACTGGCGGGCACCTTCGAGAAGTTTGAATGGCGGGACCAAATGCCCAGAATACGAATTTGAATTGCCTGTCTCGAAGTTGTCGCGCCATTTCACCACCCTGCCATTCCCACTCTACAACTGTGGAGGGATTCGTTCTTTGAAGCGCGGCAAAATACCTACACATTACAAAACAGTTTCATAATGAATAGATAAAAATAGCGACAGGCAAACAACACATATATTTGCAATTAATTTTTGCTTACTGAGGGAGTTCTGCAAAGTTCGATTCCCAAGTGCCATATACACTCTCGATGGCTTTTCTCCTTCCGTGCCATGCCTTCTTGTAGCTGACATCCACTTTCCAGCACTGTTTCACATCAGCCTGGATCATGTGGACGCCGTACTCCACTTTCTTTCGAATCTTATTACGAATGAGATTTGAAATCATTTGGGCGGTTACATTTCTGTGGTCATTTCTCTCGATCGGTTGCATACAAGTGTGTCTATCAGTCCATTCAGTTAGTTTCCACATTTCATGAACCCGCTTGGACTTAGTCACCCGAGCCTTCCACACACAAGGCGGATCTCCACTAGATCTGCAGACCACTTTGAATGACTTTTGATTTGAATCATTTACCCGAATCTCCCGCAATCTATCGACGTTCCAACCCGTTAAAGCCATTTGGGCTTCTTGCTTGCTCCGAAAAACCATACCCAAACATATGGTCTCAATATCGCCATTCCAGCGTCGAATAGCATACTCGTCCGCATCTATCCTGGACGGGTCCCATTCTCCCATCTCGCGGTATACGTGCCGACCACCAATAGGAAAGGGGAATTCTTCTTCAATGAACTCGGCTTCACTCTCCTCATTCACCGATCTATCTGATTCGGTTTCTGAGGTCTCGTCTGTGAAATCATCTTCACCGAGTGCGAGCTCTTCGTCACTTTCTTCCCCGTCCTCATTTTCCCTTTCTCTAATTGGTGAGCTTGTCCCTTCTCCAAAATTACGTAGATGAGAAGTCGACGTGCCATCATCCATTTCCCCGTAATAAGGAGTAAAATCCTCAAATTGTGTGACCGGTGTAATTGCCTCCAACGATAAATGCAAATACACAACGGACATAGGTTCATATGCATAAATCCACTGAAGAGCACTAGGGTTATCGAGTCTTCCGGCAGTCCACGAACCATCGCGTTGACGAAACATTAAAGTAATCGCTTGAATTGTCCAACCTTCTCCAAACCGACAATTTTCATTAATCATCTGTACCAATTGTTCATATGATATCCTCCCCATAATAACAAATGAACCATCCGGACTATCCATAAATGAAACAAAATCTCTTAACTGTTCCCTCGCAAATCGCTAATACAAATTAATAAAATACGGACCACAATACGCCATTTGTACCTGTTGCAAACAAAAACTTTCAATTCTTCCCAATTACAACAACATATGATGTGTAATCCAACACCCAAAAAATTCAATTATTCTTTAAACCAATCTTTTTACCCTAACGAAAAAACCAAAAAAAATATTCCCAATCGATTAATCCTCCAAAACCCTAATTCTAACCCTAATTTCAAAAAATCCTAAGCCCAATTGACAATTTATAACAAAATTATAATCTCCAATTCAAGATACATACATAATCCATAAACAATTAACAATCCACAATCTTCAAACACCACCACATTCAAACACCATCCACAATTACTAATTTTCAAATCACTCCAAAACAATGTAAAAAGTTGAGATAAGCTAATATACCTCGTGCGAATGATTTAATCGGAAATGAGGTTCGTGTTGTTGTTGTCGATTCACGTTGGAGTGGCGATTGGATCGAGTNAAAACGGATTTAATGAATCCGTTTTTTCAAATCCCAAAAATTATTCAATTTAGGGTTTTATAAAACGGATTTAAAACCCTAAATTGAATGATTTTTGGGATTTTAAAAAACGGATTCGTTAAATCCGTTTTCAATTCATAAAATATAACCGTTTTTAAATTCTTAAAAGAAAATAAATATTTTTTTAAATAAATATTTTTTAAATATAAAACGTATAATGAAAATACATTTTTCTAATAAATTGTTATTAGAAAACGGATTGTAAAAATACGTCTTTTTTATTTTTTTCCACTCATTTTTTTTTTCTCCACTTATTTTTTTTATTTTTAAATAAATAAATTACCCGATGGCCCAAGCCCCAAGGGGGAATCTAGATTACCGAAAGCGAGGGTAGTTTGGGTATATCAGAATAGGGAAGTGGGCAGCGATATCAGCCCCTCCAGACCGCCTCACATCCATTACCTCCTCTCCAAATTCCTCTCTCCCTCTCTATAAATCCTCCTCTTTCTTCCATTGCCATATATATACATTAACAATCCTATAAAAGACGCCTACTTTCAAATTCTTACCGCTCTAATTCCTATTTTTGCTGATTTTCCCTCTAACTATTCCCATTTTCTCTGTTTCTTCAACTCAAAGGACGGTTTTAAACCCTAGATCAACTGAATTCACGCTGAAAGGACCGATCTATACATCCTTTGGTTAAGATTTCACCTGGTAGCTTTAGTATCTCGAATCTGCTGTTGTTCTTTATCTTTGATTGCCCCTCCTAGCAACGATCATGTTTTGTTTCAATGGTTCTTGTTTCTTTTTCCCTTTCTCATTAGGCGGGGGATAGAAACTTTATAATCAATTACCTTTTTTCATCATTTGAATTTTTCCCTTCTCCCTTTAACTCCATTTCGAGATTAATCAAGAATTTTATTTACGAGCTCAACAAGATTTTATTTTTGATATTTTTTTTCTGCGTTTCTTGTGGTGTGGTTGACTTGAATTATTTCCTTTTTCATTCCAGATTCGCTGCTGTTAGGTGAATATTTGTTCAGAGTAGTAGAACACATTGCAAAACGGTGATTTGATGGCAGATCCTCAAGGTCTGGAGGGGAATCAACCTGTTGACATCTCTAAGCATCCTTCAGGGATCGTACCTACTCTACAGTAAGTTCTTTTTTCCAAAAAAGTTTTTTCCTCAAACTATCAGTTGTGATCCACTGGAAAAAATGCAAGTATTTTAATAATTTAATGCACCCATGAACTGAGATTTTACTAATGAGCAGGGTACCTTTATACACCAAGGTAGCCATGCTTGGTTATTGTAATAGGTCACATTGAATGGAAATATATATGCTTTTGCACTGTAATTTCTTGTTATAAGCCTAGAAAATCCAAATGCCAAAGCATTCATGACTTAGTAAGACCACACTTATGATGGGTTTATATGGAGAACATTAACTACGTACTCCTGTTTACACTGCTCTTGGGATTTGTTACTCTTTATTAGTTCTATTCTATTGACGTTCACTTTGTAAGTACTAGTATGACTCTGAATTTGACTCTGCTGTTGTGACGATATTGGATATATCACCCTTTAGCAGATTAGTTGTTTCTAGGCTAGTTGGTTCTTGGTAAACCAGGTATGCAATATGACACGAGTCATTGATAAATGGGCTGTAGCAACTATTTAAATGGCTGGAAAAATTATCATGTTTGGGAAAAGTCATTAACTTGTCATGTTGATTATTACTCGTATAAGAATCCTGATTGATTTAAAACAGGAACATTGTGTCAACAGTCAATTTAGACTGCAAATTGGATCTTAAAGCTATAGCATTGCAAGCTCGAAATGCAGAATACAATCCCAAGGTATGTTGCAACCGTGAACCGGTGTGTGTATTTACTTCTTATATTCAATTATTTACACTAATACAAATTGTCTGCAAGTATAGTGGGCTACTAGATCATTACTGATTTTTTTTATCTGTTTCTCATGTGTTCTGATCTTGTATCCTTTGCTGAACGTATCTTAGCTCCCAGGTTTAGAGTTGTTTTTGAACAGTTATCTTGCTAGCACAGATTATATATTATCAAGTGCATCAACATCATAAAATAACTCTGGGTGCTGTGTTTTATAATTCAGCTGTTGACATCAGAAAGCTGGCTTTTGGTGTTTTATTTTTTATTTTCATTCCTTTTAACTCTGTTTCCATCTCATCTAAATGAAATATTTTCGTCTTTTATTTACATTGTATTATACTATAGCCCCAACTCTTAGATTAGCTTAAGCAGTGGCAAATTGAAATTCGCAAAATAGGAAGTCACTAGATTTATGGTGCGTGGAATCTGAATTCATAACTTACTTTTCCATGGGATTCCAGCGTTTCGCTGCGGTGATTATGAGGATCAGAGAACCAAAAACAACAGCACTCATATTTGCATCTGGAAAGATGGTAAGGCATGATTATCTTTTGGTAACCGTTTTTAAGATATATCCTCTTGTTAATTGACTTCTGTTTAAGACTAGTGATAGGTAAACACATTTTGTTGACCCTAAGTGCTTATGATTCATCCTTCAAATTTTTACTTTTGGGGACTATTCAAGTCCCTTTTGATGATTTACTGAAAACTCCCTTTTAATTATAGGTTTGTACAGGAGCCAAGAGTGAACAACAATCGAAATTGGCTGCTCGGAAGGTGTATACCTATGACTGACATACTAACGATCTAATTGCAGATCAGAGTTTCTTTAAGGAAACCATTTGTTGGCACAAAAATGAAAGTTTTAGCTATTGGGTTTCACATGAACTAGTTTATAAAAATAAACTTTACATAAAACAAACTGAACATTTCATTTAAGTCTGTCTTACTTTTCTCTCATTATCTGTTCACCTTCCATCCTATCTCGTCAGTATGCTAGAATTGTTCAGAAGCTTGGCTTCCCAGCAAAATTTAAGGTACTTATCTGCATACTTATTTTCCAATGATCTAATTGGACCTGTCTATTGGTTCTTCTCTCATCATTGACTCTATGCTATGCTTAACATCATTTTTCTTCCCTTCCATTTTTACAGGATTTCAAGATTCAGAACATAGTTGGTTCTTGTGATGTGAAATTTCCTATTCGACTTGAAGGCCTTGCCTATGCACACGGTGCCTTTTCAAGCGTGAGTTGTTCAGTAGGCTGTATTGTCATGGTGTTTCTTCGATGTTGTCATCAACAACATTTTAGATAATTTGATTTATCAAGACAAAGTATTGTTGGCGCTAACATGCCATTGAAGCTTCTATGATTGGTTGAGGGTGTTTGGTGTGTGTGTGTGTGTGTGTGTNCTGTTATTTTCAAATGAGGAAAGCTCTGTGTTTCAAGGACCTTTGCTTAATGTTTAAGTTGACGTTAATTTCGTATTCTGTTGATTCAGTACGAGCCTGAGCTTTTTCCTGGATTAATTTATCGGATGAAACAACCAAAGATAGTGTTGCTCATTTTTGTCTCGGGGAAGATTGTTCTCACCGGAGCTAAGGTAATAACTCTACTTTGTTTGGTTTGGAGAATTTTGGAGAATATCATTTCTATATGTTACACTAGTGTACTTCCTGACGATGATTGAATGCATTCTTCTTTCTTACCTTTTTCAGGTTCGAGATGAGACATACACGGCCTTTGAGAATATATACCCTGTTCTCACTGAATTCCGAAAAGTTCAGCAATGGTATGAAGAAAATGTGGTTATATGTTCTGTTTTCCACTGCTAAAGTCTGGTATTTTCTGTCGACTTGTTAATCTATCGTACCTTTGAACCGATGACCTCTATAGTTGATGTGGGAGACAGTTGATGTGGTAGACTCTTAGGTTTCTTATATGACTATTAGGGGGAAAACTGTAAGTTTTGGATGATAGAAAAGAATTGGAAGCTTAGAAGCAAAATTGTGGGAATAAACATAGAAGTCCCCTTTGAATATGCATAAGAAAAAAAAAATGCTGGTATTTATTTTGATGGAGTCTAACACGCCATTGAAAAAAAAAAAAATAAAGCACTGGTAAAACATTTGTATACTTTAAGGCAATAGTTTCTTTTCTTTCTTTTTAGACAGTTTGTGAGGATGACTTCGCCAAATTTCTTATAGAAGTGTCATTGTTCGCTTACATTTGTGACATATTTTCTTTTATATATAGATTTATTTACCAAGGACAAGGCGTTGGATGTAATATCAAAAAGGACATTGTGAGAGCTCAAGAGATCAAGAATTAGCGCACCTGGGATGGCCTCTGTGGTTTGGGTTGAACCGTAAATATGTTTAGCATGTTAGTTAAGTTATGTCAGTCCTGGTAGAACGAAGGCATGGGGTTCCGGTTTAACTCATTCCTTTTTGGAAGGTACACTAAATATTGAATTCAGTACTTGATAATTGCTAGTAATAAACTAGTGTTTTGTATTTGCCTTTTAACATTTATTGTGTACTTTGTACTGTCGTTGATTGTGTGAACTTTTTAGAACATTCTTAATAAATACGGAAGTACTTGCATTAAAGCCGGATCTATGTATGTAATGACTAATGAGTCGTATGCTAGTCGCGATTTCGCAGTCAACTGTGACGAAATTGTAACTGGCAGTTTGTTAACATGTATATAATTGAACTGCAAATTATCAAAAGTTGGAGTGCCGTCCGACTTTTAAAATTTCATCTGCTTTTCATGCCACATCAGTACCCATCCAAAACTGCGGATATATTCGGATTTTAGTTTTGCATGTAAATGAAAATTGCAAAGCGTGAAAATTATTGTAACAAGCTAACTAATTGATCACCATCATTTAAACGTGTTTATTATTCACACAATCTACCTCCATGAAAAACTCCCCAATCCGTTTAGACAACACTACCCAAAATTCATTTTTTATTTTATTTTTTTCCGAAACGAAAGAGTAAATAAATAAAACACATAATTACATATAGAAAATAGCCAAATAACTTACTCAATCAATTATAGAACTGAAAATAGTGGGAATACAAACTCGAAGGAAAAACCCACACTAATAAACACCACACTCACCACAACAAACTAGCTAACTCCCACAAGTGGAGAAATAACACAACATTCCCAAACGGGAGAAAAAAGACTACAAACCAACAAAACGCACTAAAAAACACAAATACGGATCAACCAGAACCATTCGAGCCAAAAACCCAAGGCGACCGCCCAAGGACAGAACTAGCCCTCGGCCCAACACACAGATCAAGAAACTGGAGACCCGCCCAAAACTCATTACTGTAACAAGCTACCTAATTGATGAGCATTATTTAAACGTATCACACAATCTACAGCCACGAAAAAACTCCCAATCCATTTACATAAAACTACCCAAAAGTCCCAGTTTCCTCGTGACTGCCAGTCCCAGAAGCACTTTTGCATGAACAATGGAACACCCAAGTAACGCTGACCGCCAAAAAACCGACCAAATAGCCAGCCCCAAACGGGATCTTGAACAATGAACCATCATCATCATCATCATCATCATCATCATCATCATCATTGTCGAGCTCATCTTCCCCTGACCCCACCACCACCGGACAACTCCTCTGCAGCACATCCCCACACAATTTTGAATTCCCCACAAACGAAGCTGCCGGGAATGTATCAAACTGTCCCCCCACAGGAATCTCCCCTTCCAAATCATTATTCGCCACACTGAACGTTGACAAAAAGTGGAGACGCGTGAACGACTCCGGGATCTTCCCACTCAAACAGTTCCCAGACATGTCAAGTTTCTCAAGATTGACAAGCCCCGAGAGCTCATCAGGTATTCTCCCATTAAATCCATTATTGCTGAGCTCCAGCACGTGGAGAAGCACCAGCGAACCTATCTCTGGCGGAATACTCCCGCCCAAACTATTATTCCCAACTTTCAACCCTCTCGGCAGGTTGAACAAACGGTTATACTGAAGAGCATCGAACAAAAACGGCAGCGCCAGGTAGCTCAAATCGGAGCTCGTGTTGTCCGAGATGAGCGCCGGCATGCGACTGAGTTCCGGCGGAAGGCCGCCCGTGAGGCTGTTCTTAGTAAGGTTCAAAACGAACAAGCTAGGCATATCGGCTAGCCATGTTGGGATGGGTCCCGTAATCCGGTTGTAAGACAGGTTCAGAACCTTGAGCCTCCTGAGATTGGAAATCCAGGATGGGATCTTGCCCGAAAGCCCGCAGCCTCCGAGGGTTAAGATCTGAAGGTTCCGGAAGCCGTCGAGATGCCATAGATCCGGCATCGTTTCATCCTTAAAGCACCTTGACAGGAAGAGGACGGCTAAATTGTCACAGTGCCTTAGAATCCTGAGGGCTCCATTGACGTTTGACAGGTAATTGTCCGAGAGGGAGAGATGGGCAAGGGATTTGAGAGAGGCCATGCACGGGGGGATTTCGCCCGTCAGCTGATTGTACGCCAGCCGGATTGCCGTCAAAGAACGGCACAGGCAGAGGCTGGCTGGAATATTCCCGGAGAGGCTGTTGTTGCCGAGGTCGACAGCTTGGAGATTCTGGAGAATGGAGAAATCGAGATCCGAGATTTTTCCGGTTAGGCGATTGTTCCTGAGGAGAAGGGTGGTGAGGTTGGGACAGCTGGCGAGGGACTGGGGTAGGGTTCCGGTTAGGTTGTTGGTGTGGAGCTGAAGCTGTTCGAGGTCGGAAAGCAGGCCGATGTCACGGGGGATCTCGCCGGAAAACTCGTTAACGTGGAGCTCGAGGATTTTCAGATTGGAGAGGTTAAGTATAGTTTTGGTGATGGGGCCCGATAAGCGGTTGTTGGACAGGGAGAGTTGGGTGAGGGATTTTGCGAGGTGAAGGTCGTCGGGAAGTTGTCCGGAGAGGGAATTGAAACCGGCGCGGAATACTTGAAGGTTAGAGCAATGGGTGCCGAGGCCGGGGGGAATAGGGCCGGTGAACCGGTTCAAGGAGAAATCCAAGGCTTTGGTCAGTAGAGGTGAGCAGATGGAAGCGGGAGATGGGAAAGGGCCGGTGAGGATGTTGTTGCTGATGTTGAAGAAGGTTAAATTGGATTTGGGGAAATTATGGAGTGTGCCGTTGAGACGATTGCTTGATAAATCAAGGGTATGGATGGAAGGGGAAAGGGCGGGCGGGAGAGGGCCCCAGAGGCGGTTATTGGAGAGGTTGAGGTGGGAAAGATATGGGAGGAGCGCGAGGAAGGAGGAATTATTATTATTATTATTATTAGTATTATTATTGTTTTGGAGGAGGAGGGTTCCGGAGAGACCGCGGCCGGGTAAGGAGAGACGGGTGACCCGAGTGCCGTTGCAGACGATGCCTTCCCACTGGCAGCAGTCGTCGGTGGACGACCAGTCGAGAGGAGGAGACGAGACCAGTTGTTGATGGAAAGATAAGAGGGAGTCGCGCTCCACTTGGTCGCACGACAGTACAAATACGACTGCTGTGGAGAACGACCAACAAACTAAAACAACCACAACAAACCACAAGCTTCGCATTTCATTGATTAATTCAACCTCAAAATGCCACACCAAGCCTCGATTGACCACCAACCACCACAACCTAACACAAGAGTAGCTTTTAACTTCATACCTACTACATGTGTATATGACGTAGGAAAAACAGAGTCTCACAATTCACACC